GTATTTTCATCGAGGAGTGCATATCTGGAGGGGCTTGTGAGGACCTCTGGTATCTTTATTTTTTCCACGGCTCTTCCCACTTTCACACACTCTCCTCCTCAATGTTTACTTCTACTTGGGTCTGTTTTTGTATGGGTGTGTCTTCTACCACCGTCTCTGTTTTCATTGTACTCTGGTTTTCACCTCCGATCTCCTTGGTTCGATCTGGTGGGGGTTGTTTATCACTTTCAATTCCAACTTCCTTCGATTTTGCTCCTTTTCCTCCACATTCACGAGCACAAGGACCCCATTTAGTACAGACTGAACATCTCGCTGGGAGCCAAGGGTAAATAAATTCTACCAATGCATCAATACCCATCGTCGATTTGAACCGATATGTCTTTGGCAGTTCTTTTGACATGTCAGCTTCCACAAAGACCTTGGCTTCTTCAAAGTTAGAGCAGAGCTCCGTGTCTGGGTGAAGCCTGACTGGTTTTCCCACTGCTTTTGCTATGAATCCTATTCCTTCACAGGAATACATCCTATGTGGGACATTCTTCAACGTGACCCACATTGGCATTGTTTTGATCTCTCGGTCTTCCTCCTCTTCAAGCGGAGACCATTTTGATATTATCATAGGGATGTCTGCGATATTCCACATTCCCCTTCGTAACACTCTGGTCCGAGTTTGTAGATCTCTGATTCTGAATTTCACAGTTGTTTCATTCACTACAAATACATCAATCATGATACTTTTATCTCCCAAGGGCCATATCTTATTCACTATAACGTGGATCTTCGCCACATGTGGCGCCGTGGAGAGGAATCTACCCTCGAGAAAATCTTCCCATAAGAGGGATTGAATTTTGAATCAGATCATCTGGGATTTCCACCAGGGAGATGCCGTCAACGACCTCTACTGTTGGGACGTGGTTTGAGAAACCTTGCTTGTTTTTGACGATATTAACCCATGTTTGCTTCTTCACTGCTGAACTGCTCTCTGTAATGCTCTGATCCGGATCTCATTGCAGTTGGACCGCCTTTTCTAACTCCTGCATACCGCCGGAGCCTTTGCCGTGCTGGTGGGACCTTTGGAAACCCTAATCTCTTTATGTGCCGCCCTAGAGAGAAAAGTTGCTTATATCATTAACTTAGTTGCTATCACCTAACTTCCGGTCCATCTGATACATACGACTGCATTCGATTAGACTAATAACACAATAAAACTGCATAATAGCAGAAACAAAAAATTAAAAAATAATTTATTATAGAATTATGAAATATATTTTTAATATGATTAGATAAAATATACAAAATGACAGAATATAATTATTTAAAATATTTTTAAAATATATATCATAAAAATTGAAATATTAACAATTAAATTAAATATTATAAAATGACATAATTTTTGTTGTAATTATTTTTATAATTTGTTTTTCAAAATAAAAAGTAACAGACGTAACATTATTAACTTAAATAATTTTTTTCAAAACTTAAATAACAGACGTAACATTATTAACTAAATTTTTGTAGTACTAAATTATTTATTTGTATTTATTTAAATAATAAAATATAATTAGTAATATAATTGATTAATATAACATTGATTCCACAAATTATTTACTTAAAATATATTTTTATGCTTAATGAAGATATCTTTGTATTTTCTGTAAGCAAAAAACCTAATTCCGTAGATATTACGTTTTTATGTTTTTTATAGATTTTTCTGATTGGCAAAATTCTTCTGTTTTTGCTTTTTTCGTCAGTCCATCATTCTGTAAGATTACTAATCCGAGCTGATACTGAAGATCAATTTTTAATTTTAATAAAAATTGACCACTCTTATGTTGCGATTTCGATCAGAACAGGGTACGAATGATCTGGATCAATTTTGAATTTATGCTTAGAGTAGGGATTGTAGAACTAGTGAATGTGCTGATGTTTGACATGCAACATATATACATAAACATAAGGCGGTGTACAAACGTGAGCCCTAGCTTGTTATACACGAAGCCCACTAAGCTATACTATGGCCCAGGGCAAACAGAGCATCAGAAACATAACTTTCGAGGAGATAAAGGTGTGTTACCTGGAACCGTAGCTGAAGAAGAGTCGGCGAGAACAGAATGTGTATTATCTAAGCAGCTGACGTTGTATATAATATAATCAGCGAACTTGGCAGGTAATTCTGTAGTACAATGTCCACAACCTATAGGAGGAGCAACATGCACGATCCTTTCTGAAATCGCATAACCAGGTGAAGAATCAGGAGAGGAAACAGGGGAGGAATCAGGAGAGAAATCATCATCCTCTGCATTCGGCTCCGGTAAAACAGAACTCCCCCTGTCTTCGGCAACCGGCTCCGGCGAATCAAAACTCCCCCTGCCATTCGTTGGCGGGATAATATTGTTAGGAGGCAGTAACGATTGCTCAACAATACTCCCCCTATCGACCAGATCAGGAGTAATAGCCCAATCCTTATCAAAGAAATTTGGCGAATATAGAGATTTCGACGCATCTGAAATTGGTGGAGAATCAGACAGAGCAGGTGCACGCTGGTAAGGAAATGTATCCTCCTGGAAAATCACGTCCCGTGAAATAATAAACTCCCCTGTTTTGATACCGTAGACACGCCAAACTTTATTGCCAAAAGGGTATCCCACAAAGATACAATATCAACTTCGAGTACCAAATTTTTCTGTGTCACGGGATCAAAAGTGAGTGTAGCAAGAGGAACCAAACACTCTCAACTGATCATACTGTGGCTGTTCACCAAACAGAACCTCATAAGGGGATTGACCCTTGTGTAGAGATGTGGGAGTACGATTGATAACATGAGCGGCAGTGAGAACATAATGTCACCGGCAAATTGGCCTGAAAAAGTAGAGAGCGTGCCACATTCAAGATATGTCTATGCTTTCTTTCTACCCGACCATTCTGCTGTGGGGTAGCGACACACAAAGTTTGATGTACAATCCCATGCTCTTTAAAGAACGAAGACAAGCAGGTAAACTCAGTACCATTGTCACTTCGAACGATCTTGACAGCTTTACCAAATTGTTTTTCTGAATAAACACAGAAATTCTGCAAAACTTTGCGAACATCAGACTTTTACAACAGAAGATGAAGCCAAACAGAACGCGAGTAATCGTCCACAATAGTAAAAAAAATAGGATGTGCCACAAGTAGAAGGAACCCGATACGGATCCCAAACATCAACGTGGATCATTTCAAAACATTTCTTTGTTTTATTGCAACTATCATAAAAATTTCTCTTGTTTGCTTAGACCGAAAACAAATGTCACAAGGACTCGAACTAGCTGAATTTGAAACACCAGAAAAGGTAAAGCAGAAAAAACAGAGAAAGACGGATGTCCCAAATGCCTGTGCCACAAAGCTTGATCCGAGATTGCATCCACTTTGTTGACCTGAGCCGTTGCAACATCCGTTAGATTATACATACTATCCCATTCTTCACCAGCTTCAATCAGAGTCTTCGAGAAACGGTTCTGTAAGACATACAAAGTATCAGTAAACATCGCAAAACAATGCTTCATTTGTTTGAGTAGTTTAGACACCGATATAAGAGCAATTCAAATTCGGAACAAAAAGCACGTTGTTGAAAATATATGCATACTTGAAAGCCTTGTTCCATAAAAAAAACATTTGGTCAGATTGAAAACTAAGAAAAAAAAACAAAGTAATCCATGTCTAGTTATATGATATTCAGAGAATTGAGAAATTAAAAGAAACTTGCTTCTATCCATGTTTAGCCAAAAGCTTGATAAATTAAAAGAAACTTTCTTCACTCCGTAGTAAACTTGGCTGAATATTGAACCTCTTCCTCTTTTGTTTTTTCGGTGAAAATGAGCAAACCTCCCTCCATCCAACCTTCTCCCCAACTGTTCTGAATGATCCAATAGAAGTTTCTATATTTGTGCACCCCAAAACCAATTATAACAACGGCATGGTAGTGTGCTGCTTTAGATTTTGGCGCTTTGAATATTCCCTGTTTGTCAAATAAATGTGTAAATTCAATAACAATTATACTAAAATGATCAAATTTACTAAAATATTATATTTCTTTTGCACTCACATGTCTATGAGTACTAGTTCAGTCCACAATGGTACAACTCCAACGACCATATGTCTTTGGACCAATCTCACAAGCAGGGAATATTCAAAGCGCCAAAAGAGAACGAGTGAAACATAACATCCGGATTCTTGTCTTCCTCCGGACAAAAAAAAGACAGCAGAAATAGCTTAAGATTGCTACTTACTACTTTGTTGAGTTCAACGCAGGCTTGGCAAATACCAATAAGCTGCAGTATGAATGTCTAAAACTAAATCACACCTATCTTGACAAATCACCGCAAACAAAAATTAAAGTTTTCCATTCCAATAATAGTTTTGTAATATGAATTATTATGAGTTTTTATATGTAGCTACATTTATTTTAAAGCTTTCTAAACAGACTGGAAGCCTAGATTCATATATATCCGGTCCGCCCGAAAGCATTTAAACCCATATATTTGGTACTTTTGATTTCATTGAACAATTCAGATTCTATTATATAGCTTAGATATATTGGAAGTTTTAGATAATTTTTCCGTCGAGCAAAGCAAACAAACACTAACAAAATAAGATTTCAGTTTTTCCGACCATGGCTGCTCTCGACAATTCCTTCCGATCCCGAGATTCAGCGGAGATTGATACTCCGCCACCAAAGAAGCTGACGATCAGGAATGTACGAGACAGCGAGGTCTCTTTTACAAGAAATTCGAGGAAAGCGAGGTAATTAATTAATATCTCCGACTTAGGGTTTATGTCTGGTAATGTGATGTTTAGAGTTAGGGAAATTACATAATCAATTTTTTTTAGCGACCTTATAAGCCATGATGTTCTGTCCTCTTGATGGATTTGTTTGTACGCAATTGGATTCATAAGTTTCCCAATATTTCTCCTTTCTTAACTTTGTTATTATGTGAGATACATGAACATGACATGGATTTAAAACCATGTGTTGGGTGCTTTATCTATATATATGTCTCAAGTTGGATATTATTTAATTTGTTCTTTGTTTCTCAATGATTGTTTATTAGGGTTTTGATGTGGACTGGGACAGCTTCGATTATGTGTTCAATGTCACCAACTTTGACTGGAATCCATATATAGGAGATAAACGGACCAATGAGGAGTTGATGGAACTGCTCATTCAGGCAGCCATTAAAGAACACGATGAAGAACATGTAAAGAGCTTTCCTTTTGTTTATATTTTTTCATTGTCTACTCTCTATTGGTTTTCTATTTCTTGTGCTTATCTTTTTGTGTTCTTGGTAGGATACAAAACTTGAGTCTGCCAAGTATGTGAGTGCAAATATTACTGTGTGCAGGGGTTTTATGTATTATATAACATTTTAGGCGATAGATGCGATCTCATCAGCTCAAGAACCTAAACTTTACCAAGCAAAGGTGTGCAAGTACCGTGAAGAGATCACGGTCGTTCTGGTCAGGCTAAGGCCCACACAGAGTTTAAGCTTACGTATTTTGTCTTGACTCAAAACTTAAATGGCTTTTTTTATCTTCTAGTTTTGTTACTGTAAATTGGATTAGGTTACCTATTCGTCTTGTCTTATAAAAATGATTACGTTATTATTATTATTCCATGGTGCTTACATTCAAGCTGATCAGTGAATATAGGTTTCATCGCTTTAAGGATGGATCTTGCACTTGACGTAATTTTTGGTGAATTTTTTTATTTTTAAATTGGTCTTTTGTTCTTCGTACTTCGTAGGCTCTCACATTCAAGGGTTGATGTAAAGGGTTTAAAGGAGATCATTTATAATTTATAATTTAGTTAGTAAACTAAGGCTGTAATTGGTGACCATAAGGAATGAAAAGAAATACTGAATTCCTTATCATTCCTTAAAAATTACACCATTTAAAAAGAATATATTATACTCATGATTCCTTCTCATTCCTTATGTTTTAGGGAACTATAATGTTAATATATTTCCTATAAAAAATGAGAAGGAACAATAATTCCTATTATTTTGTTCCTTTCATTCCTTTTCCTATTCATTCATATTGTTACTTTTATGGTCAGTAGTTAAAGCCTAATTTAATTATTCAAAGGAAAAGTAAACATAATATAATATATGATTTCACTACGAAAGTGAGGTAGTTATTGTTTCAGTTACAAATTTGATTGTCAATACAACTAGGTGGTTCTCCGCGCCAAGCGCAGGTATATACAAAAATATTAATTTATATTGCCATTAGGTTTTTTAATTTCTCTTTAATCTCTTGAAACTCTTTAACTTTACTAAGCTTATGTAACAAAAACATTCTTTTGATTCATAAATTAACATATTATAAAACATTATATAAAATATGTTATAAATAACAAAACCTTTTTAAAAATAAATCAAAGCTAAAAAGAAAGAAAAACAAAATGAGAATGCATAAATGTGATCAAGTATTTGCTAGACCTCACTGTAAACAAAATTCATTGTTCTACATTGTGGCGTTATGTCTTTACCAGTTATCAAAATCTTTACACTTATTCTAGATGTTATTAGTCTAGAAACATCAACGTATAAATGTGTATGATTAAGAACTGATTTTGGAGCAAAAAGTATCCTCATTTCTTGGATTTCTTATTGCCCTTTCGAGAAGAAAAACTCTTAGTGTGAAATTTTTTCACAATTTTATTTTTGTGGCAATCTCTACACATTTTCGTGTATATTGTCTCAAATTATGTGGAATAATTTTGTCTATAATGTAGACGTTGTTTCAGTTTTATTAACTCTTGTGTAATATTACTGTCTACTTAACGTTGGCCTAATTAATCGATTTGAAGGAAAACATATTGGTGATATAATGGATCCAAAACTATCTTAATTAGCTTGTCAAAACTTAGTAAGTTTTTTCTATGAGTTTCCAATCATCTGTCAAATAATGTTTTATTACAGTGACTATATGATAGTGAGTAGGATAGAATTTGCCATTAGTGCCATGCATACTTACAATAGTATACTTGTAAGATTAATACTTGGTAAAAAAGATTATGAATAACATGAGTCACATATTGGTAAATAATTCTATATAATAGCAACGTCTTATTCAGAAAATATACATGAAGCTAAATGTTTTTTAATCTTATTTCTCATCATAATTACAATTGTTGCTTGAACATCTTTCTCATAATTTTCTGTGTGAAAAAATAAATCTGTTACTTAAGCAACACATAACTTAACTGACCGTAAAACAAAATGCAAAACAAAGACAAATTCACAAAAGGATTTTCTGCAAATCAACCTCGGGCGTGTTTTTTTTTGCAACTGTACCCTCTATTCCCAAAAAATACAAGTCAATCCTCCACACAATGGTCAACCCGCAATATAAATCTTGGCTGTATCGATGAAGTGTAAAGAGTAAACGCTGCATTTGTAAAGAGTAAAAACAACAAGAAGTTTACGAATCTATGTCGTTTAGAACCATAAAAACGGCAGAAGGCGTATTTGTGTAGAAATGAGTAACCCTAATCGAATTGGGGAAAAAGTGAAAATTAAAAAAAAAAACTCGTGATTTCTTGAGAGGATGGGAGATTTCGTGATGATGGGTTCTTGAAGTTAGATCAAATGTGTATTGGAATCGTGTGTGTGGATCTGTTTCTGTGCGTTTGAGGGAGTGTTGGATTGGATAGTGAGGGTTTATCAAACCAAGTTTTGGTTGCGTTCATTGTTGGATTGCAGAAGTTAAAATTGGAATTGGGAGGATGTCGACTGTGTCGAGGTATGTAATCTTTCAGATTGAAATTGAGTTTCATGTATTACATAGTAATCAGTTTAGATGCTTCCTATTTCTTTCAGTTTTGATGCTTTCTTTTCTTGATGCAGTTTTGATCTGTTTGTGTACGTTGGTGGTTACTGGTCAGAAGAGGGATTATATTACGGTGGAGAGGCACATATGGTGGGTAGAATTTATTCGGATATATTTAGCTTAAGTACAGTTCGTATGTTTCTGAAGGATCTCTACGGGTGTAAGATAACATGAAGAAAGTTTCTTGGTTTCCTCCTGAAACGCCTGGTAAAAAGGAAGACATAGAGGATGATGAGACATTAAGAAGAAAGGTGTTGCATTATGCTTTGAGTTCAGGAGCTATGACACTTTATATAGTTCGGGAAGATGATCTTTATATTGGTAGGCATTTTGGCATCAATGTTGTGCGTTTGTCAGATGAGATTGCAGACAGCGATAGTAGTAGTTCAGATTCAGAAGGTGATGATGTTGTCGAGGAAGAATCAGAAGAAGAAGAGCAGCATGATTCTAGTAGTGAAACTGATTTGGCTGAGGTTGGAGTGCAAGTTGATGAGAGTAAATGTCGTAATTTTAGGTTGGGGCAAGAATACAGCTCAATTGAATCTTTCAAGAGTGCCATTACTCGATATGCAGTGAGAAAGAGGAGAGCCCTCAAGTATGAGAAGTCAGATAGTAAGCGTGTAGTAGTAATTTGCTCAGATAAGGCATGTCCATGGAGAATCTCTGCGTTTATCAACAGCAGCAGTATTAGAGTAGTTGTCAGGGCTTTCAACGATGAGCATGATTGCACTTGGCAAGGAAAGGTCTCACTTCTTACCAATGCTCGAATTGCTGACATCTACTTTGGAGAATTCAGGATCAATCCACATATCTCAGCAAAGCAACTACAAAATAAGCTCATAAAGCGAAACATAAATGTTTCAGAAACAATATGTGAGAGGACACGATTAAGGTGCTTGCAAACCTTTGATGATGAGCAAGCAGAGTCATTTGCAAGGATCCACGATTATGTTGCTGAGTTGAAAAAGACAAATCCTGGATCTACAGTTGAATGTGAGGTAAGAGAATCCAAGTTCTATAGGGATGGAAGTCATCGTGTAGGAAGATAATTCATATTGATGGGACATTTTTGAAATGGAGGATGACTGGACAGTTGTTGGTTGCTTGTGGAAGAGACCCTAATGATCAGATGTTTCCGATAGCTTGGGGCATTGTAGATGTTGAGAATAAGCCGAACTGGGAGTGGTTTGTTGAACATTTGGCTGAAGACTTGAGCCTGGAAACTAGGAATGGTCTGACTCTTGCTAGTGATCAGTGTAAAGGGTTGGTGGCAGCGGTTAAAGATGTGCTCCCTTTTCCAGAACACAGATTATATGCAAGACATGTCCATGCGAATTGGAAAAATAAATATTCTGGAGCAGATTTTGAAGACTTGTTCTGGGGAGCTGCAGATTCTTACTATCTTGTTGTGTTTAAGAGGAAGATGGATGAATTAAAGCACTTCTCTCAGGCTGCTTATAACGATTTAAAAATATATGTTTACTGTCCATGGTCAATGTATGTAATTAAAATTACTTAACTCGTTATTCTTGTATAATATACACAGGACATATTTGATATTATATCTTATATTTTCTATGTCTTTTATTCGCGCATGGCCTATTTCAGTGAGTTTTCTAAGTGTGATGCAGTTGAAAATAATTTAGGAGAATTATTCAAAGCAGCTATTCGAATTGCAAGGACAAAACCTGTGGTCGAGATGCTTGAAGATATTAGGCAATGTGTGATAATTTCTAATGAATAGAAACGGTTGGAGGCAGAGAAGGCAAAAGGAGATTACACTCCTAGAGCAAAAGCTTTGTTGGAGCAGCAGATCCACAAAATAAAGGATTGTATCCCTTTAAGTTGTGGTATGGGAGAGTATGAGGTTGCCTGTTTTAATGACAGGTTCGTAGTGATGATGAGAGGTGATATCAGTTGTGGCTGCAGGATGTATAAGGTCAGTGGTATCCCTTGCTACCATATCATTTCTGCTCTGTGTATGGGGAGACAAGCTGATCAAGATCCGAAGACTCTTCTTTCTCATTGGTTCACCGTACAAAAGTTAAGGAGCTGCTACGCTTATCCATTGAAGGCGGTTGGGGGCATGAACATGTGGGATAAGTCCGATGTGAGGATTAATCCGCCTCCATATAAGAAGCCTCCAAGGAGACCTCCAGGGAAGAAGAGGAAGAGAGAAGTTGGTGAAGCAAGACCAGGAATGCTTCCGAAGAGAGGAATTAAGATTGTAAGTGTTATTAGGAGTTCTTCACAGTATTTCAACAATCTATTTTTAACAAAAAACTAAACATTGTACACTTTATAGCATTGTGACCTCTGTAGACAAGACGGACACAACATGTTATATTGTGAGAGTCTACCTGTCGAGGGGCCGCCAAAGAACCCATGTGGGAGGCCAAGGATAAGACCGATTACATCTTCTCAAATGCCGGTTATATCTGCATCATCTTCTCAAGCACCTGTGAACCATCTCAAGCACCGACGATTTCTTCTCAAGTTGTTACACACAGCCAACCACTTGAAGATATTCCAAGCCTTTCAGCTGCTCTCCCAAAAAAGCGTCGGGGAAAACCTCGCAAAAGCCAGTTTGATGGTGTTTCAACCTCTCAACCCAACCCAACTACTCGACAAGAACCTATTTATGACACCGGGCCACTACATCTTCCAAGGGTAATTGCTTCTTATCTGTTGATTATGTAAACACTTGGTTGCAGGAAGTTCATCTTTTCATGACTACATGTTGCTTAACTATTAACTAAGAGAGGTGTTGTAGGAAGGAGTTGGTCTCTTTACAAGCTCTTTGACTGGTGATGACTATGTCTGCATTGGCTCACGTGTGACTGATACAAATGACAATACCATCTTACCAAGTACACTTTATCGTTCAAAAGAAAAAATTAGCTGCTCACAATAGTTCAAGAGAGAAGAAGAAGACTACTGAGAAGTGATCTTCGTTTTGTGTCTAAAACGGTTGATTGCCAAACTCTGTTTAGTTATCCTTATGCTTTAGTTATTGTTTTAAAACTTGCTTATATGTCGTCTTTAAATTTTAAACTTGGTATCCTTTTGAATCTTTGTAATATCAAACTTGGTTTTCATGTGTTTTTTCTTGCAATATCAAACTTGGTATCCTTTTGCACTTCTTCTGTTTACTTCATTACAATGACCAATATGCAACACTACGTGATCTTGTCAAATATTATACACAGACAATATCCATAGATCAGATAAATATTATGCATAAACAATTTCCAACATAACCGTTTACAAACAAATATAATTAAAGTCTAAAGATACTTAAAGTCTTAATTGAAGGTCTTAAACTTAGATACTAAAACTCTTAACTAAAGGAAAACAATTTTGGAAGCCTTTCTGGTCTTACTTAAGTTAGATAAGCATGTTGAATTAGAAGAAAACAACAGCTGCAGCAATCGTAATATGCATCTCAAACCTCATTGCTATGCCACTTTTCTTCTTCTTCATCACAGCCAATTCCATTTCCAAGTTCGCTATCTTCTGCGCAGTCTCAACCTGTGCATTATGGAGTACTTCAATTTCTCCCTTAGCCATGAATAGGTCCATCTTCTCTGCTACATCACCAGTATAAATATGAATGAGACATAGCTCCTCCATGACAGCCTCATCCCACCACGTCCAAATATGACATTCTCCATTGCCTGCATTAGGGCAACTAAAAAACCTCCTTCCTGGGTCAATCCGAGAACGACAAGTATCGATTATAGCCCGAGCTCCACAATGACATTCTTCCATAAGCCCATATTCTTTTATTACATTCCTTGAACTGTCTCCCCTACCACTTCCACTTGAAGTTGACGGCTGAGTATAGCTGTGAATACCCATCTTCGTCCTACAGCATCAATAAATTTTTAAACAACCTGATCGAACACACACATTAATAATTGAAACAACACACAACTAAAACATCGCCAACGGTTTCAAGAACAATTAAAACCCAAAAATTCGAGCATTATTAATAACAAACTATTCACTTTCCATACTTATTAACGGATCTCAAAACCTCGAATTGACATTTCTACTTCTAAAAACATCAAGTCATTTTCTCAAATTACAAAATTTCTCCGTCTCGTGATACGCTTTCAACCTAATTACCAACAAAACGAAGCCAAATATTTAATTTATTAACCTCAGAAGCAGATGCAACAATATCAACCTTCAATTTCGTTGACACTTGAACCTCGACAGAAGAGAGAGCAAAATCCCTAATTTCTATTTTTCCCCCAATTGCTCGATGATGCCCTCCCCTCTTACTTAAACCAAAATAAAACTTCTTGTTGTTTTTACTCTTTACAAACGCAGCGTTTACTCTTTACACGTCATCGATACAGCCGAGGTTTATAGTGCGGGTTGACCATTGTGTGGAGGATTGACTTGCATTTTTCGAGAATGCAGGGTACAGTTGCAAAAAAAAACACGCTCGAGGGTTGATTTGCAGAAAACCCGAAACATTCTTATGATCAACAGGTTCTTTTTGTTTGACAACAGATCAATAGGTTTTAAAGAAAGTGTAGTTGCGACTTCATGATCTTTGAAACTCACACCACAGTACAGTACTCTTAGCTTATTACTCAAACTTGCAATGAGCAGCAACAACACTGAGCCGCATTAAACCATGTACTTCTCACTTAAATTCCATCATCAAGAAGAATCCATATCACTTAAAAAAAATACACACCAATCACTCAATATATCAAGAAACGAAAGATGTACCCTGAGTCACAAGGTGCAATGGTTATACTTTATCAATTGGGACAAAAATTTGGAGGTTTCCCATAGGCTTGCAAACTCTTTGATGGCACATATTCCGCATTAGGACCATCTCCTACCTTTCCTCTCATGAAGTAGATATTCAAGTTACTCTCATATATCATGATTAATTGTATATACAACATCTAAGAAAAAAAAAAGCACATCAAAAATCCCTTTCAGCTTAGAAAGAACATAAATTTGAGGATTTGTTGGTATCATACACATTACGCCTTTTTCCCAAATCGCATACGGAGAAGGCTATACAACACCTCTGCTTCTCAAAAATATTTCTTCCTTTCTCCTATAGTTTTGTACCCTTTTACATTCATATCTTTCTATACGTTTTAAGCTGAAGGATCAAACAAAAATAATATTGTTCATTTATCATATATTAAAATATTATTACCCATGAGTCAATACTTTCTTAGACCGATAATGATTTGTTGCCCTTCTTCTTTGGATATTGTTTATCTTGTAGATTTTCTTTTCCTTCCACTGTCACTGACCACATCATAAGCTTTAAGTGGCTGAGTTTCTTGCTTTTCAATGGTATCCGATCAACTGCACTTTTCCCATAACCATATAGTTGAGTATAAAAAACTGCAGCAACATTTAGAGTTTAAACAATGATTAACAGAGCATATGAAACATATCGGAAAAATTACCAACCAGGATCATCCATTCATTGACAGGTATACTTGAACCGAAATATTGCTGAAAATTGTATTGTAACCGATGAGTAAGCTATTCACAATTTGAAGACATTTCAGAGTTTTTGCCTCGGCTATGCTTTTTTTTTATGAGTAGCTATTCACAAAGATGGCTTCTGCATTTGAAAGTTCTGAGCCATTTTTAGCTCAGATATGCTTTTTATTAGCTTCTTAGCATCTGGTAAGCAATTCAACAGCTCACCGCCAAACTCAATCGCAATTCCAGTCTAGAACCACAAAAAAAAAGTGAAACCAACGATCTTTACATGAAAAAACCAAATTATAGAAAAAAAACACCCACCTTCTGAACCACGGCAAATATGACGTGATCTCCAAATACCAGTTATGGAATCCCATCCAAACGAACACGCGCATAACTACCTCGAGAGTGGAAGACAAATAAACAAAACATGAGTAATAGTTTAAAAAAAAAATCTTAAAATCAAATAAATTATAATCGAAAACAGGAAAAAACAACAAATACGCGCAAACAAAGTAAATAATCAAACATAATGTTGCTTCTAAACAATCATTATATGAGGAACTCAGCTGATGCGTCATCCAATTTTCTTATAATGACACCGACTTAGCAGCCAACAAACAGTAAATAGATTATCCTACAAGTGTTCAAATTATAGAAAAAAACTCATAACCCAATTTATAAAAATAAACATAGGTCCAAAGATTTGTTCCACAAAATATACATATGTTGGAATTCAGAGAAGGCGATTGGGACATACAATCTTTAAGGGCAAGTTCATGGATTGCCACGGTACCTTGAGACTCAAAACTAACAGAGTGAATATATAGACAGACAATCATCATATAATATATAAAAGTTGATGGCATAGTGCATTGAGGGCGTCCACATGAGATTAAAAAACTCGATATGATTGGTTCACATAGTGCATTGAGGGCGTCCACATGAGATTAAAAAACTCGATATGATTGGTTCACATCAGCATATTCATTAAATAAAAAAATATTAAGTATGATTAGGACGGAAAAACTTGATTTAATTGGTCCGCATCAGCTTTTAAATCAAATCAAAAATTATTAAGTATAATTAAAACATTAAAAGTTAATTTGACAAATTATGTCCAACAAAAAAGGTAAATTCAATCTGATTGATCCAAATCAACATATTTTAAATCAGAAAATTTTAATATGGTTTAAAAAATTTAAAGTTAAATAAAAAAATTGACAATTGTCAATACATGTATAAAAAAAAGTAATCATTATCAATTATCAATTTACAAAAATATATAATAACTCGATTTAACAATTAAAACAATGAAAACTGAATAAAAGGGGGGTGGGGGGAAAGAAAAAGAAGAAAAAAAAAAAACACAACCAAAATTAAATACGACCAAAACTCTTATCTACATCCAAATCTAAAACACGGAAATACGTATAAAGAAGAGACTGAAGATCTAAACACTAAAAAAAAAGAACTGGGATAACGTGTTCGTTTGGATGGGATTCCATAACTGGTATTTGGAGATCACGTCATATTTGCCGTGGTTCAGAAGGTGGATGTTTTTTTTCTATAATTTGGTTTTTTCATGTAAAGATCGTTGGTTTCACTTTCTTTTTGTGGTTCTAGACTGGAATTGCGATTGATTTATGAAATTTTTAAGAATTCTAACATTCCATTGTTATTGATATAAGGATTATTAAATTCCTAACAAAGTCCTATGTTATTGGTATGATGATTTAAGAATTCTTTTTAAAATCCTGTGTTATTGGTGTGAAGATTTTGTAATTATTTTTGAAAATCTGAGTTATTTAAAAAGTATACTATTTAATAATTTTTTAATTCTATTAAATTTCAGTGTTACTGGCACAATGAGTTTTTTACATTTTAACTCATCATTCATGATTTTCAAAATACTATAGTCAGATGTTGTATTCTCAAAATTTGGATAGAAAAATTAATAATTTATCTTTTTGTTAAATAAAACATAAAAATTTCGAGTGTAAAATTTCAAAACTTTCACAACTAATTACAAAACCAGTTTTGTAACACAAGCAAAATATTGAATCCAATTTTTTTTTCACAACTAATTACTATTATACTGCATACATTTGAGAAAGCTTTCAAGGATACATGTGCTTGATAAACAGAGGAGAGGCGAAAATGGAGTCAAGCTTTGAACCATGTTGGCAAAATACCGGAGAACTCTTGCTTAACTGGTTTGTGTTAGAAGCGAGAGCTTCTTTCTCACAAAGAACACAACAAAGTTTTTTTTGTTGCTCTGTTTTAATGAAAGAAAAAACAGAGTATAAGAGAAACTTGTATTTATTATTGATTATCGTAAAATTGTGGAAAATATTGAACCCAGTTTTCAAACAAATGATCAACACAAAATATTGAACTCAGTTTTATAAAAAAGAACAAACAAATTATATCCTTCAAAAACTACCATATATAATTCTAAAAAAAACATGTTCTTCTTCTTCAATGATGCTCTCTGTGATAATATTCTTCTTCTTCATGCTCTATAAATTGAATTATACCTCACCATTAATGTTGACTTCCAGCTTCCATTGCATCATTCCACATACTTAAAGCTATAGTGTCTCTCCAATTATTGGCGTACTCTCTTGTATTACCTATGCTTGCTGTAGAAAATGAATGGTGAAACAATGAAAAAAACACAAGTCGATTAACTACTTTATAATCAAATAAACATACTTTATCTGAATATATAGTATATATAAAATTCCTAGAATAACATTATCATATAATTACTTTACTAAAAAAACAAATAACTAAAATTAATATGAATCCAAGAAAATCCACACAAATCTTGATAAAACTTTGTATGTATTCTATAAATAGTGATGAACATAACTCTTACATTCCATACAAATCTTTGAAAATTTTCTTAAAATCTCTCTACTTTTGAAATTCACAAATATTCTTAAAATCTTGATAAATCAGTCTCCCACTAACCCCCTTAAAAATATAACATAAAACTCTTGGAAGACATGATGGAGAATGAAAAAATGGTTTTGCATGATCATTACAACTTTCTAACAAAATTAAATGTGAATCAACATGAATCATGGATTATATATACAGTGGTCGACAACATCAATAAGACTTTTAATAAAAAAACTAAATATTTGAACACATAAACCTTCAAGAAAAAAAGAACTATAGAAATTCTATGGAAAACAGAAAATAATACCAAAATCTTAGCAATATTATATTTCTCTAAATCAAATGTATATGTACGTCAAAGTTGGATAATTCGATAGGTGTCATTGTTATTATTTTACCTAATAATGTTTTTAAATTTATAAATAAAAATAGGATAAACTACACATTATATATTAAAATCTCTTATATAAATGAAAAATTCTATACATATATATAATTTTTAATTATTTTAAAGATAGTAGCTAAAAAAATAAAACAAAATATTAATACAGATTCGCGCATAGTGCGAGTTATATACCTAGTCATATAATATAAAAGTTGATGGCATAGTGCATTGAGAACGTCCACATGGGATTAAAAAACGCGATCTGATTGGTCCACATTAGCATATTCATTAAATAAAAAATGTTAAATATGATTATGACGGAAAAACTTGATTTGATTGGTCCACATCAGCTTTTAAATCAAACCAAAAATTATTAAGTATAATTAAAACATTAAAAGTTAATTTGACAAATTATGTCCAACAAAAAAGGTAAATTCAATCTGATTGATCCAAATCAACATATTTATTAAATCAGAAAATGTTAATATGGTTTAAAAATTTTAAAGTTAAATAAAAAAAATTAACAATTAACAATACATGTATAAAAAAAAGTAACCATTATCAATTATGAATTTAAATTGTTTTTACAAAAACTCGATTTAACAATTAAAACAATGAAAACTGAATAAAAATATAGCATAAAACTTTTGGAAGACATGATGGAGAAGGAAAAAATAGTTTTGCATGATAATTACAGTTTCCTAACAAAATTAAATGTGAATCAACATGAATCATGGATTATATATACAGTGGTACACAACATCAATAAGACTTTCAATAAAAAAACTAAATATTTAAACACATAAACATTCAAAAAAAAAAGAACTATAGAAATTCTATGGAAAACAGAAAATAATATCAAAATCTTAGCAAGATTATATTTCTCTAAATCAAATGTATATGTACATCAAAGTTGGATAATTTGATAGTTGTCATTGTTATTATTTTACCTAATAGTTTTTTTAAAATTTATAAATAAGAATAAGATAAATTACACATTATATATTAAATTATCTTATATAAATGAAAATTTCTATAAATATATATAATTTTTAATAATTTTAAAGATAGAAGTTAAAAAAATAAATCAAAATATTAATACAGACTCGTGCGTAGCGCGAGTTATATACCTAGTCAAACTATAAAAGAACAAACAAAGTAAAACAATCACAACTACTGTTTTATGGAACCATGACTGCACAATATATAGCGGAAAAAAACATAAAATAAACCCTACAAAATATAGAAGACATGACAAAGCGTTGACAAACAGTGGTCATATTTATATACTCCCTCCGTTTCATAATAAGTGTCATTTGGAGAAAATGTATCTACATTGTAACTGGATGTATCTGGATGTGTTTTAAGTTTAATACATCAAGATACATTACAGATACATTTTCTTCAAATGACACTTATTATGAAACAGAGGGAGTATAAGGCTACACATTGATAGTTTACTTTTTTTTAGCATAAGATAATGATATTAGAATATACTGGATCAAATTTAAATTTATTTTAAGTGTTCGGCCATATAATTATCCGATAACATATATGAAAATATATGTATTTTATATATCATAATTAAATAAAAATTTAAATTTAGAAACAAATCAGCAGTAAAATATGATAGAAACAAATTTAGTCTTACCTACAAAAGAACGAAAAAAACTCCAGAAATCGCATGATTAAACCAGTAAATACAAAAATCCCTCAGCATTACACCGTAAAATGAACTAATTCAAATCAAAACCAATTAAATATTTGGTAGTTACGGGGTAGGCTTACAAAAATAAAATAAAAAGTTGGAAAGTCTTTTTGTAAGAGCCCTACCTCATTATTTTATAGTCCTACGGTTTCTGGGATCTTCCTGGGAAAATCAAGAAAGGAATAATGTTTAGGGCTTCGAGCGAGGGCGGTGATGATGGCGATATCACCAAATTTGGAGATTCGACGGACGTGGTTGTTAGTCCTCTGGCGAAGAAGCCGAGGCTAGATCTGAAAGTGGAGGCGGAGGCGGAGGCGGAGGCGAAGGTCGAACCAGAAGTAAGAATTCTCCAGCGACCGGATTGGAGCGACCCGCATTATAAGAGACAGCGAGAGATGTATTTTGAGCAGTATGAAAAGAGCGAGGTGATATTCATTCCTTTGATTTAGGGTTTAAGTACGTAGAAGTTGGAGCAGAGCAAGGTGCGCTCATGTGGGGAGCTCTGCTTTCAGCTGGTAGGTTACATGGAAGAGTTGATATTGTTTGTGAAGCTAGCAAGCGGTTAATACAGTCAAATCAGCAAGTGACAAGCGCGTATGTGGCTTTGTCCAATGCTCACGCTGTAGCTGGAGGATGGGAAGATTCAGAGTCTCTGAGATTAGAGATGAAACGTGGTGGAAACGTGAAAGAACGAGCTTATGCGCAGAACGCTTGAGGTCACGAGACCTCCAGGGAAGAAGAGGAAGAGAGAAGTTGGTGAAGCAAGACCAGGAATGCTTCCGAAGAGAGGAACTAAGATTGTAAGTGTTATTGACAGTTCTTCACAGCATTTCAACAATCTATTTTTAACAAAAAAACTAAACATTTTACACTTTATAGCATTGTGGCCTCTGTAGACAAGAAGGACACAATAGGTTATATTGTGAGAGTCTACTTGTCGAGGGGCCGCCAAAGAACCCATGTGGGAGGCCAAGGATAAGACCGATTACATCTTCTCGAGTGCCGGTTATATCTACATCATCTTCTCAAGCATCTGTGGAACCATCTCAAGTACCAAGGATTTCTTCTCAAGTTGTTACACACAGCCAACCACTTGAAGATATTCCAAACCCTTCACCTGCTCTCCCAAAAAAGCGTCGGGGAAAACCTTGCAAAAGCCAGTTTGATGGTGTTTCATCCTCTCAACCCAACCTAACTACTCGACAAGAACCTATTTATGACACCGAGCCACTACATCTTCGAAGGGTAATTGCTTCTTCTCTGTTGATTATGTAAACACTTGGTTGCAGGAAGTTCATCTTTTCATAACTACATGTTGCTTAACTATTAACTAAGAGAGGTGTTGTAGGAGACAGTTGGTCTCTTTACAAGCTCTTTGACTGGTGATGACTATGTCTGCATTGGCTCACGTGTGACTGATGCAAATGACAATACTATCTTACCAAGACGCTTTATCGTTCAAGAGAGAAGAAAAAAATTGGCTGCTTGCAATCGTTCAAGAGAGAAGAAGAAGACTACTGAGAAGTGATCTTCGTTTTGTGTCTAAAACGGTTGATTGCCAAACTCTGTTTAATTATCCTTATGCTTTAGTTATTGTTTTAAAACTTGCTTATGTGCTGTCTTTCAATTTTAAACTTGGTATCCTTTTGAATCTTTGTATATCAAACTTGGTTTTCATGTGTTTTGTCTTGCAATATCAAACTTGGTATCCTTTTGCACTTCTTCTGTTTACTTCATTACAATGACCAATATGCAACACTATGTGATCTTGTTAAATATTATACACAGACAATATCCATAGATCAGATAAATATTATGCATAAACAATTTCCAACATAACCGTTTGCAAACATACATAATTAAAGTCTAAAGATACTTAAAGTCTTAATTGAAAGTCTTAAACTTAGATACTACAACTTTTAACTAAAGGAAAACAATTTTGGAAGCTTTCCTGGTCTTACTTAAATTGGATAAGCATGTTGAATTAGAGGAAAACAACAGCTGCAGCAATCATAATATGCATCTCAAACCTTATTGCTATGCCACTTTTCTTCTTCTTCATCTCAGCCAATTCCATTTCCAAGTTCGCTATCTTCTGCGCAGTCTCAACCTGTGCATTCTGGAGCACTTCAATTTCTCCCTTAGCCATGAATAGGTCCATCTTCTCTGCTACATCACCAGCATTGATATGAATGAGACATAGCTCCTCCATGACAGCCTCATCCCACCACTTCCAAATATGAAATTCTCCATTGCCTGCGTTGGGGCAACTAAAAAACCTCCTTCCTGGGTCAATCCGAGAACGACAAGTATCGATTATAGCCCGAGCTCCACAATAACATTCTTCCATAAGCCCATATTCTTTTATTACATTCCTTGCACTGTCTCCCCTACCACTTCTACTTGAAGTTGATGGCTGAGTATAGCTGTGAATGCCCATCTTCGTCCTACAACATCAATAAAATTTTAAACAAGTTGGTCGAACACACACATTAACAATTAAAACAACACACAACTAAAACATTGCCAGCGGGTTCAAGAACAATTAAAACCCAAAAATTCGAGCATGATTAGTAACAGACTATTCACTTTCCATACTTATTAATGGATCTCAAAACCTCGAATTGACATTTCTACTTCTTAAAACATCAAGTCATTTTCTCAAATTACTAAATTTCTCCGTTTTGTGATACGCTTTCAACCTAATTACCAACAAAATGAAGCCAAATATTTAATTTACTAACCTCAGAAGCAGATGCAACAATATCAACCTTCAATTTCGTTGACACTTGAACGTCGACAGAAGAAAGAGCAAAATCCCTAATTTCTATTTTTCCCCCAATTGCTTGATGATGCCCTCCCCTCTTACTTAAACCAAAATAAAACTTCTTGTTGTTTTTACTCTTTACAAACGCAGCGTTTACTCTTTACACGTCATCGATACAGCTGAGGTTTATATTGCGGGTTGACCATTGTGTGGAGGATTGACTTGCATTTTTCGAGAATGGAGGGTACAATTGCAAAAAAAAACACACTCGAGGGTTGATTTGCAGAAAACCCGAAACATTCTTATGATCAATAGGTTTTTTTTTTGTTTGACAACAGATCAATAGGTTTTAAAGAAAGTGTAGTTGCGACTTCATGATCATTGAAACTCACACCACTGTGCAGTACTCTTAGCTTATTATTTAAACTTGCAATGAGCAGCAACAACACTGAGCCGCATTAAACCATGTACTTCTCACTTAAATTTCATCATCAAGAAGAATCCATATCACTTAAAAAAATACACACCAATCATTTAATATATCAAGAAACGAAAGATGTACCCTGAGTCACAAGGTGCAATGGTTATACTATATCAATTGGGACAAAAAATTTGGAGGTTTCCCATGTCTCAAATTCAATAACTGTTATCCCCACAAAGAGGCTTGCAAACTCTTTGATGGCACATATTCCGCATTAGAACCATCTCCTACCTTTCCTCTCATGAAGTAGATATTCAAGTTACTCTCATATATCATGATTAATTGTATATACAACATCTAAGAAAAAAAAAGCACATCAAAAATCCCTTTCAGCTTAGAAAGAACATAAATCTTAAGGATTTGTTGGTATCATACACATTACACCTTTTTCCCAAATCGCATACGGAGAAGGCTATACAAACACCTCTGCTTCTCAAAAATATTTCTTCCTTTCTCATATAGTTTTGTACCCTTTTACATTCATATTTTTCCATACGTTTTAAGCTGAAGGATCAAACAAAAATAATATTGTTCATTTATCATATATTAAAATATTATTACCCATGAGTCAATACTTTCTTAGGCCGATAATGATTTGTTGCCCTTCTTCTTTGGATATTGTTTATCTCGTAGATTTTCTTTCCCTTCCACTGAGAGATCACTGACCACATCATAAGCTTTAAGTGGCTGAGTTTCTTGCTTTTCAATGGTATCCGATCAACTGCACTTTTTCTATAACCGGAAGTTCTTGTCCCTATGAGGCACAAGTAACAAAACCAACTTAGAGATTTGATTTACATAAAAAAGAAACAAACCCAACACTCTTAAAACAATAGAAGTTCGAAAGAACAAATTTATGAATTGCCCCTCTAATAAACAAACATAAACCACATCTACAGTCGAATTTCAGAACAAAAATAAAAATAAAAGGAAAGTGGATTGCAAGATCCATAAAATGGATAAAGAGTGGATTGGCGATTCTTTTCTTCTCCATGTTTGGATTCTTTTATATTGGTATATTAAAAACACATAATAAATTAAATATAAAATTTATAAACCGTGTTACTAAAATTAAAAACAGATTAGATCATTTTAAACGAAAATACAGACACTAAAATAAATCGGAATCACATGTTGTAAGTTTTGCTTATGAAACATTATGAGCCAATCTCTAAAAAGACAGAATCACAAAGTTGAGTATAAAACTGCAGCAGCATTTAGAGTTTAAACAATGATTAACAGAGCATATGAAACATATCGGAAAAATTACCAACCAGGATCATCCATTCATTGACAAGTATACTTGAACCGAAACATTGCTGAAAAGTGTATTGTAACCGATGAGTAAGCTATTCGCAATTTGAAGACATTTCAGAGTTTTTGCCTCGGCTATGCTTTTTTTATGAGTAGCTATTCACAAAGATGGCTTCTGCATTTGAAAGTTATGAGCCATTTTTGGCTCAAATATATATGCTTTTTATTAGCTTTTTAGCATCTAGTAAGCAATTCAACAGCTCGCCGTCATACTCAATTGCAATTCCAGTCTAGAACCACAAAAATAAAGTGAAACCAACGAACTTAACATGAAAAAACCAAATTATAGAAAAAAAACACCCACCTTCTGAACCACGGCAAATATGACGTGATCTCCAAATACCAGTTATGGAATCCCATCCAAACGAACATGCGCATAACTACCTCAAGAGTGGAAGACAAATAAACAAAACATGAGTAATAGTTTAAAAAAAATCTAAAAATCAAATAAATTATAATCAAAAACAGGAAAAAACAACAAATATGCGCAAACAAAGTAAATAATCAAACATAACGTTGCTTCTAAACAATCATTATATGAGGAACTCAGCTGATGCGTCATCCAGTTTTCTTATAATGACACCGACTTAGCAGCTAACAAACAGTAAATAGATTATCCTACAAGTGTTCAAATTATAGAAAAAAAACTCATAACCCAATTTATAAAAATAAACATAGGTCCAAAGATTTATTCCACAAAACATACCTATGTTGGAATTCAGAGAAGGCGATTGGAACATACAATCTCTAAGGGCAAGTTCATGGATTGTCACGGTACCTTGAGACTCAAAACTAACAGAGTGAATATAGACAGACAATCATCATATAATATAAAAGTTCATGGCATAGTGCATTGAGAGCGTCCACATGGGATTAAAAAACTCGATCTGATTGGTCCACATCAGCATATTCATTAAATAAAAAAATGTTAAGTATGATTATGAAAGAAAAACTTGATTTAATTGGTCCACATCAGCTTTTAAATCAAACCAAAAATTATTAAATATAATTAAGACATTAAAAGTTAATTTGACAAATTATGTCCAACAAAAGAGTAAATTCAATCTGATTGATCCAAATCAACATATTTATTAGATCAGAAAATGTTAATATGGTTTAAAAAATTTAAAGTTAAATAAAAAAATTAACAATTAACAATACATATATAAAAAAGTAACTATTATCAATTATCAATTTAAAAATATCTACAACAACTCGAATTAACAATTAAAACAATGAAAACTGAATAAAAATATAACATAAAAATCTTGGAAGACATGATGGAGAAGGAAAAAATAGTTTTGCATGATCATTACAGCTTCCTAACAAAATTAAATATGAATCAACATGAATCATGAATTATATATACAATGGTACACAACATCAATAAGACTTTCAGTAAAAAACTAAATATTTGAACACATAAACCTTCAAGAAAAAAGAACTATAGAAATTCTATGGAAAGCAGAAAATAATACCAAAAATCTTAGCAAGATTATATTTCTCTAAATCAAATGTATATGTACGTCAAAGTTGGATAATTCGATAGGTGTCATTGATAAATTACACATTATATATTAAATTCTCTTATATAAATGAAAATTTCTATAAATATATATAATTTTTAATAATTTTAAAGATAGTAGTTAAAAAAATAAACCAAAATATTAATACAGACTCGTGCGTAGCGCGAGTTATATACCTAGTCAAACTATAAAAGAACAAACAAAGTAAAACAATCACAACTACTGTTTTATGGAACCACGATTGAACAATATATAGCGAAAAAAAAACAGAAAATAAAACTTACAAAATATAGAAAATATGACAAACCGTTGAAAAACAGTGGTCATATTTATATATAAGGCTACACATTCATAGTTTACTTTTTTTTAGCATAAAATAATGATATTAGAATATACGGGATCAAATTTAAATTTATTTTAAGTGTTCGGCCATATAATTATCCGATAACATATATGAAAATATATATATTTTATATATCATAATTAAATAAAAATTTAAATTTAGAAACAAATCAGCAGTAAAATATGATAGAAACAAATTTAGCCTTACGTACCAGAGAACGAAAAAAACTCCGGAAATCGCATGATTAAACCAGTAAATACAAAAATCCCACAGCATTACACCGTAAAATGACCTAATTCAAATCAAAACCATTTAAATATTTGGTAGCTACGGGGTAGGCTTACAAAAATAAAATAAAAAGTTGGAAAGTCTTTTTGTAAGAGCCCTACCTCAATATATTATAATCCTACGGTTTCTGGGATCTTCCTGGGAAAGTCAAGAAAGGAATAATGTTTACGGCTTCGAGCGAGGGCGGTGATGATGGCGATATCACCAAATTTGGAGATTCGACGGACTTGGTTGTTAGTCCTCTGGCGAAGAAGCCGAGGCTAGATCTGAAAGTGGAGGCGGAGGCGGAGGCGAAGGTCGAACCAGAAGTACGAATTCTCCGGCGACCGGATCTGAGCGACCCGGATTATAAGAGACAGCGAGAGATGTATTTTGAGCAGTATGAAAAGAGCGAGGTGATATTCATTCCTTTGATTTAGGGTTTACGTACGTAGATGTATTCTCGTTTTCTGGATTTGTTGTGTGGGGAGTGATGGGTTGGTGTTTATGATTATAGGGTTACGATGTGGACTGGGATAGTATTACTTACGACTTCGCTGCCGTCAAATTCGAATGGGGAGGAGATTTCGATGATGTTATTAGCAACGATGAGTTACTCAAACGTCTCATAGAGAGTGCCATCGGAGAAGAGAACGAAGAAAACGTCAGAGCTCCTTGATCATCGATGAATTTTTATTTTTACTTTTAAAAAGAAAAATTCTAAATTTGTTTTGTTTTGCTT